TCGAACCCGCGACCCTCAGATTGCGAGTCGAGCGCCCTAAAATATTGAATATAATATAATATCATAACCGAAGCAGTAGTGTGGTTGGTAAAACTGATAACACAAAAACATTTATTGGGGGGTATCGTGAACAAATTAAAAATGGACATGTTTCGTACCCGTTGAATAAATTCGTTTAACTACCACTTTGTAAGATATTCACGGGTAGTTGGTGCAGTCCTCGTCACGGTGAAGTTTTCTTAATTCTCTTTAAAAGTCCCAAATACTACACTAACAGAAAGAAACTGGAGGGGGGGGGGGTTGCACATGCATCGCTGCATCTAATCACATCGTCAAATATTTAAACGTTAGAAGCACCACCTAACGAATGAGAGATAAAAAAAAAACCGAGACAAGTCTTAATTCTAAATATATTTTAATAAACTTACGTGACTAATACTCTATAGTCTAATAACATCTCCTCATCTGTGGAATTTTGAAACAGGTTTTCAAACGCTTTAATTACCGATAGGTGACGTTGTGTAACTTCCGTAAATAGCTATCGAAAGAACAGGTTAGATGCACTAACTTTTTGAACTCGCTTCAACATTTTTTTTTTTGTTGTTGTTGTATTTTTTATTATATGGTAGTTATAATCCAACTAAACTGGAATGATACGGTAATAGAAGCAAAATTCATAATCAAATTTAAAACGTGATGCGAAGAGATAAAATTTGTTTTCCTGTAAATGACATTTAATCTAAGTTCATTCTATTTTCAAGCGTACATGAAACGTTTTTCCTTAATTAGCAATTGAGTAATAACTTTGGCTCTTGCTTGAGCAGGAAACATGCTTAAAATGTTTTCACGTGGAAAACTTCAACAGGTACTTATAGTATATTTATATATATATATATACGTATGTGTGTGTGTGTGTGTGTGGGTGGGTGTATACACAATTCTTTTAACTCTACAGATTCTAGAAATGAAATATATCTTTTAGAACGTATACCCCCCCTGGTGAATTCTGTGTTGGTGTAACAAATAATTTAAGGATCATTGTTTGTAATTAAGTACAAAGCTACACAATGGGCTATCTGGGCTCTGCCCATTACGGGTATCGAAACCCGGTTTCTAGCGTTGTAAGTCCGCAGACATACCGCTCTGCCACTGGAGGGGTGATTAAGGATGACTTGACATAAATTTCGTGTTAGATCTCCCCCAGTATATGTCAGCAAACATTTTAATGAATGTATTCCGAGAGAACCATGTTTTTCATGTTAGCCTTTTTTTTGGGGGGGGGGGCATGAAATAAAAGAAAAACACGAAGGATTAATTTTAAGAAAACATTTTCATAATTTTTGGCGTAAATTTAAATATGAAAAGAAATATTATAAAAGATGTGTTTGTTTGCTACAGAACAAAGCAACATTAGGCTATCGAACTCCAGATTTTAGCGTTGTAAGTCCATGATAAAAATACAGGAAAGAAATGAAAGCATATTTCATAAGATTA